AAAAAAAAAAAAAAAAAAAAAAAAAAAAGCCGTGATCGCTATCTAAAAAAAGCCGCGATCGCGATCTGCAGTGGCAATTCGGAGGGAGGTCCTTCACTCCCAGGCGGAGTGAGGGACCGTCCGCCGAATTGCCGCCGAATACCTGGAACTGCCGCCCCTGTCCGGAACGGCCACCCCAAGCACCTGCTTGAGAAGCTGGTGCCTGGAACCGGCCCTGTCAATAATAGACTTAAAAGTGGCAATTCTTCTACAAAAAAACTTCAAAAACAGACTCCAACGAGAAACTGAAGAACTGGAATTAATTTGCAAACTGGACACCATCAAATTAGGCCTGAATAAAGACTGGGAGTGGATGGGTCACTACAAAAACTAATTTCCCTCTGCTGATACTCACACCTTCTTGTCAACTGTTTGGAATGGGCCACCCTGATTGCACTGGCCTCATTAGCACTACAAAAGTGATTTTTCCTCCATTGGTATTCACCCCTTCTTGCCAACTGTTGAGAATAGGCCATTTCCACTTTAACTGAATTGGCTCGTTAGCACTGACCCCCACACTTGGTAAGGCAACTCATCTTTTCATGTGCTGTGTATTTATACCTGCCTACTGTATTTTCCACTCCATGCATCTGATGAAGTGGGTTTTAGCCCACAAAAACTTATGCTCAAATAAATTTGTTAATCTCTAAGGTGCCACAAGGACTCCTCATTGTTTTTGCCAAATCCAGGAAATCTCTTAAGCATATGCTTCAAGTTAAGCATGTGAGTAGCCCTGGGGAAAGTTAAAAATGTGCTTAAATGCTTTTCTAGTTTGGGACCGAAGTGCTCAGTGCTTTATAGGATGGAGTCCTGAAGCTCTGGTTTGATTGATCACTGCTCATCTGGACCTTGACTTTGTACATCTCTTCTGAAAGAAGGCAACTCTTCTAAAAGATGGCAGAGCCCACAACATCATGTTGCGTCTTTGCCACCAAACACCATTTCCAACCGAGCTAGCCTATCAAAATAACAAAAAGGCCTCACCTTGCTTAGCCCGTGAGAAAAGTGAAATGCCTGAATTGGCCTGGCTATCATATCAGCAGTTAATCAAGCCATACCTATCTTTCTTGTAGTATTTACTCAGTCTTGTCTGACCCTTTACCATTTTGCTCCTCTGAATTTACTCCAACCTATCAAGGTCTTTCTGATACTGAGGTGTTCTGAGCATGGCACAATACCTGAGGTGTGCTCTCACCAGGCACAGACAGAAGGTGTGGCAAATGAGATAGCATCCATCAATACATCATTTTTGCTACAGATGAAGTTACTGAACCCCATCTAAAAAAAAAAAGATGTATTGGAATTGAAAAAGGTTCAGAAAAGGGCAACAAAAATGATTAGGGGTATGGAACAGCTTCCATATGAGGAGAGATTAATAAGACTGGGACTTTTCAGCTTGGAAAAGAGATGACTAAGGGGGGGATACGATAGAGGCTTATAAAATCATGATTGGTGAGGAGAAAGTAAATAAGGAAGTGTTATTTAATCCTTTTCATAACACAAGAACTAGGGGTCAACAAATGATATTAATATGCAGCAGGTTTAAACAAAAGGAAGTATTTCTTCACACAACGCAGAGTCAGTATGTGGAACTTTTTGCCAGGGGGTGTTGTGAAGGCCAAGTATAACAGGGTTCAAAAAAGAACTAGGTAAGTTCCTGGAGGATAGGTCCATCAACAGCTGTTAGCCAGAATGGGCAGGGATGGGGTCTCTAGCCTCTGTTTGCCAGAAGCTGGGAATGAGCGACAGGGGATGGATCACTTGATGATTACCTGTTCTGTTCATTCCCTGTGGGGCACCTGGTATAGGCCACTGTCGGAATACAGGATACTGGGCTAGATGTACTTTTGGTCTGACCCAGTATGGCCAGTCTTATGTGTGAATGAGAGTGAAAGAAAGGGAGAGATGGGGAGAAAGGCAGGTAACCGTAGAGTAGAAAGGAGCTTTCAAAATGGATATGGGAACACTCGAAAGGCATACAAGTGCCTGTTTACTATGGGAAGCAGAGATGCATATAGCACTGAACAAAACTGGAACATGCTGAGCAGTTTTGAGGACAGATTAAAGCACTGACCAACACACAACATCTGTGCAAACATTGGGGTGACTACACAGATATGAGCTAGGACTCCACAGATAATATATTAATGCAAGCTCACACCTGCCTGTTTGAAACAGTGTGAAGGCTATAACTGGCAGGGCTGAGGAGCATGGAGGGTACACACAGAGGGTAGAACACTTACTCAGTGGGGAAGCTACCAAGACACTGAATTGCTGACGGGAAGAGAGAGAAAGATCCTTATTTCATACAACACAAACAACTGAACCCTAAGGTGTGAAGTAAATACCTGCTGAAATCACTGTGCTGTCACTGCAAGAGCTGTAAACTACAACTCACTATTAGGAGAGAGAGAATTTTACACTGATCACTGTTTAGTGGATATGATTTTCTCTCACCTCTGTTTTATGAACTTTGTTTAAACTAAGATCCCTGGGGTTTAAGACCACTGGGAGTGGGAATATTCCCAATCAGATGTTCCCAGAAGTGAAGGGGAGATCAGGACTGTAATGTCCCTCAGGTCCCTGGTTGAAAGTATGGACCGGAAGGTCCTGTTCCCCATGGTTGATGTTGCTGCCCAGATTGGAGGGAGTGTGAGGCCTGGGGAAAGCTGAAATATGAGGGGTGAGAGAAGAATTTGAGTGGGAAAGGGGCTATTGCCTCCCTAGTCTGGAACATGCCATCATATCACAATTATTATTATTACTGTAGTGCCTGGAGCCTGGGGCCCCATTGTGCTAAGCACTGTACAAACACATAGTGAGAGAGTCCCCAAACAGACAAGACAGACAAAGACGTGGAGGAAAAAACAGGCACATTGAGATTAAGTGATTTGCCCAAGATAAAGCAGCAGGTCAGTGCCATGTCTGGGAATATAAACCAAGCCTCCTGAGTCCCAGCCCTATTCTTTAAACCACACTACATCACAATGCAATCTCTCGTATCTATTTATACTAATCCTTCTCTTCAACAATTCTCAGTTTGACACTGTCTGTGAATTTTAATCAATGTTCTGTTCACTACCCCTTCTAGATCATTGATAAAGATGTTAAACAACACTGGACCCAATACCAATCAGTCCCTACTAGCCATCTTGTTTCAGATGGATTCATTGACATTTACCTTTAACCTTTGTTTATGGTCTTTTAGCCAGTAATCAGTCCATATGGACAGTGTTAATACCCAAGCCAATTTTCTCTCTCAAATTAAGCTCCAGAGCTCAACCCCCACTTCCCCAGCAATTGGTGAAGCCATATTTTAATGTTGCCCTAATTATTGCCATTATCACTATCAGGATTTGAACCTATAATGTGATGAACATGATGGCATTCTTCCCTCCGAGTTCTTACTTTACCAAGTCCCAGGCAAGAACTCAGGGCTATTCTGCTGTTGAATGTGTTGGCCAACATTTTTCAAAGGCGGCTAGTGATTTTTGGGTCACTCAATTTGAGTCACCTTCACAGATTTTTAAAATCAGAAGGGACCATTGTGATGCTCCAGTCTGCATAACCTGCAGGTTACATCTGAGTTATACAGATGACCCACATTACACAGACCACATTATTTCACCCAGGGCTTCCTGATCTAGTCCATTCACCTGTGGTTAACTACAGTATCTCTTCCAGGAAGCATCCAATGTAAGAAAAGAAACCTTACAGGGATCCAATTTTCAGAAGGTGTTTGTCACTTTCTTCAAAATCAAGCCACTGTAGGGTGTCATAAATTGGACACCGAGAAAATCGAGGTAACCCGAAAATCATTACTCCTTTTTGAAATACCATCTTTTGCATGAGAAATAAAACCAAAGTCCTGACCACTTTTGGTCAATGACATCTTGTGGCATTTAAATAAAAACAAAAAAATAAGAGTGTTAATCATGTTGCCCCGGTCAAAATTCCAACTTGGGCAAGTTAAAGGAGAATTTTAGTTAGAAATCAGAATATTGTTTGAATTGCTTATGGTATGCTTCTTTCTTCCCTGCACTAAACTGCTATGTAATGTTGCTGTGCATTGCTAAAAAGCCACGATTTTTATTGCCATGAACACCAACCACAGCTGCATTTCATCCCAGGGGGAAGTGACCACTATATAGTTTGTATATCAGTTTATAAAAGACAGCAAGATTCAGAAAACCACCAAGTAAAGAGGCACAGGACTGTTGCCAATTATAGGCACCATAAGAGATTACTTATTTTTCAGTAGCGTTATTTGGACAAGAAGCACAGAGCAGATTCACACTGAGAAATAAAGCTAAGCATGAAGGCCTGATTCTCCATAGAGACAGACAGTAAAGACAGCAACAGTTCCAAATTTTCTGATAAAGAAATAAAAACTTACTGTGGGTTTATATCTGGATTAATCTTTTTCAGTTCCATGATGTCATCTATAGTTTTTTCAATGGCATCTGGATGAACACTTACTGAAGTTTGCAGCAGCTGGAAATATGTTTTAACATAAATTAACTACTATATGATGACATTTAGTGGATACTCATTGTGGTGGAATGTTGTGCACATGAGGACTTCTAGATTGACAGCCTGGGAAATCCAAATTTCTATCTGCACACAGAACAAATACACCCTGGGCAGCCCTTCCAATGTGTTTAATCCCTCACCTTGATCCTGATCATCCCCCCTCCTAGTGAGGAGCCAGATTACTTTCCCAGGCTCACTCAATCCTGTACATCTCTATGGTGGTTGCCAACTGTGAAGATGTTTTGTATTTGTGGACTTTTGTCTAATAGGAACTAGTCTGAGACCACTAACTCAGAAAATATATCTGCATTTCTGGCCTCCATTTGGTATAAAAGTACCAAAGTACATAGTATACTGGAGTGTTGTGTAACTGACACACTCTGGGCATATAGCAATAAAGCAAGAATTTTTTTTTCATGTATTCCAAGTGATCCCACTACAAAGATTAGAGATGCACAATCTCTGGAGGGAATTAATAGGCAAGAACTTCTGAATCATCAAATGATCAAAATCTAGCAAGAACTCAGAGAAGTTCAAAATGGATTGAATCTTTTGAGAATCTGCTCTGGCAACCTCATTTGTCACTTGCACATATGTAAAACAGAATCACAGAAACGTAGGTCTGGAAGAAACTTCAAGAAGTCATCTAGTCCAGCCCCGCAGCTGAGGCAGGATTAAGAATACCTAGACCATCCCTGATAGCATCCAAGCTGTTCTTAAAATCCTCCAAGGATGGGGATTCCACAATCTCCCTAGGTAACCTATTTCTGTGCTTAAAACAATCCTTATAGTTAGAAAGTTTTTCCTAACACCTAATCTAAGTCTCTCTTGCTGCAAGCTAAGACCATTATTTCCTGTCCTACCGTTGGTGGATTTGGAGAAAAATTTATCACTGGTTTTCTTTATAACAACCTTTCACATATCTGAAGACTTATTACATCCCCCTCAGTCTTCTCTTCTCTAGACTGAACATGCCTAATTCTTTCAAGCTTTCCTCATAGGTCATATTTTCTAAATGTAGATCCATACTTTCTAAATGTAGAGCCATACGTTCCATTTCCATTAGTGGCACTGTAACATGTATAAAGTAGATGCCATTTAGTTTATTTTGTGAAATCTGTTTGTAATGCAGATATAAATAGCATGCTTTCCAATGACACTGGATTTCCCTTCCCAGACAGAAGTGTATAGTTTAAAAATAGAGTTTTTATGTTTTCATGCTCTTCACTTTAACTTGTGCAATGTATTTAGAATAACAGCATTCTAATTTTACAGTTTGAGGAGAAAAGACTGAGAGGCTGTTTTTAATATTTTTATGAACATTCATGAAAGTGAGGGACAAAAAACACACTGCCCAGGTACTTCTACATGTCCCCCAATCACCATAAGGTACAAAAGTAATAACCCCATTTTTACAGATAAGGAAACTGAGGCACAGGGTGATTCAATGAATTGCCCCTGGTCACACAAGAAGTCTTTGGCAAAATCAGGAACTGAACCAAGGACTCCCAAGTCTTAGTCCAGTGCCTTAACCACAAGATCATCCTTTTTCCCTTTTCTTATTTGTCTCCATTACTGCCTACAACGTACTAAGCATTGTATAAACACAAATAGTTTCCCAATATAATTTTGTTGAACAACTCAACCTTATCTTGCAAAACCACCTGCTACTCTATCCACAGACTTCTCCTGAGGAGAGGCTGCTATTTATGCTAGTGTGTCAGTCTTTATATAGGTTATGAGGTGGGAAAACTAGTGTGCTAATTTTGACAAGTGAACACTGTGATGGAGTGCCTACCCCACACAGGCATAGAAGGGGTTAATCATGCCCTGCCCCAGAAGCAGCAATGGAGGTGAGTCCTCCGAGAAACCCAGAGAGGCAGTCTGAAGCACAGCCAATCAGAGAGTAGTTGTAAAGAGCACCCAATCTGGGCCCCGGCGGGCTGGGATAAAAGGGAGCTGCAGGGTCAGTTGCTGCTGGGAGCCCAGGGAGTAAGGACTGTGTCCCTGGAGGGACAAGAGAATTAAGCACCTTGGACAGAGCAGCTGCCAGCAGGGACTGGGGGAGTGAGAGGGACTCCTGGCTGGCTGCTGGGCCTGAGCAGCTGAGTGCCCTGAGGTGAGGGTGAAGAAGGTGCTGGGGCCATGGGGAAGTGGCCCAGGGAAACAGAGCAGCATTGACAGAGGTTACAGAGGAGCAACGGGAGGCTGCTATTTACAGAGTCCCTGGACTGGGGCCCAGAGTAGTGGGCAGGCCCGGATCCCCCTCTCCCCACTAAAGAAATGGCTGGACTGTTGGACAGTTCCCCCCTCCCCTCCCTTGGAAGGTGGAAACACAGATTATGGCATAGCCTGACAGCTGAGTCACAAAGAGGATGCTGCAGTTCTGGGAGCGGAGAGAGGAGCAGAGAGAGTGCCAGTGTGCAGACCACAGACGAGGGCATTGGCCTTGAGCTAACCTGCAGCAAGACTAGGAGGCAGCAGCGCCAGTCTGGTGACGAGGGCTGCACCCTGGGACAAACATGTTTTCCTCTACTGTTAAATTTCATTTGACAAATTGGAAAGAGGCCTGCTGTGAAATGCTGAGTGGAAAAGTATATGGGAGAAAGAGGGAGAGAGAAGTTCACTCACCTTATTTTTTGAACCCCTCAGTGATGTCTCTGTTAAGAAAACAATTATTTAAAAATGTAATTATCTCAGTTCATTTTCAAGGCAAACAACATACACTGGGCGTGTGTCGTGGCCACACTCATGGACAAAGAACAGAAATGTGAGGAATACCAGGTATTTTACACTTACCTATCTTCATAGTTCTGCTGGCCCCAGGCTTGATATTGTAACAGATCCTTTGTAATTCACATCGTCCCGTTAATTTCCTCACCACAAATTTCAGACAGCGCCACAAACATTTACAGTAGAAGTACAGGCACACCTGGACAAACATTCTGTCAAAGGAAACCTTAAAGTGAGAATTTGGAACTGAATTTGTCTAAACAAAACAAGTAAGATTTTAAGACACCTAACTGTATATCTGAAGGACAAAACTTTTATACAAGGAACATATGGAGTCTTATTCTGCAATAGATTACTTATACATGTAAGGTTTGCAGAACCAGGCCCTTCAGTTTTACCCAGTTAAAAAAAACCAAACCATGAATCAGCTCAGAAAAGAATCCCCAAAAGAATTTTAGTTCTATGAAGTTCCCCCCCCCTTAATATAGGAGTTTGTGTGCATAAGTCTTATTAATGTCAAGAGGAATTATGCCCGTATAATAAGGGATGTACAGACCTCAGAATGATTATAGTACTGTAAAGTCTAGTGAGCCACAACTCCTTAATTCTATATCCCGCTTTGATACAAACTCTAACCCCTTGGGCCAGTCACTCAACCTCTCATCTTGACTGAGAAGTTAAAGGACTATTAATACTGATTAATACACTGATGATACCTAATTCCCAGGGGTGCATGAGAATGAATGGCCCTAATTAGGGAAAGCACTGAATCTTCCTTTAACCAGGCCTTTAAGTGGCTGTCCTGAACAGGGATGATTCCTGAAGAAGGGCCAATGTTTGTTCAGCCCTTTGAAGATGGGGAGCAGCCATACAGCAGTGTTTATAATAATCACACGTCACAGAAGTCTGGATACCCTGCAGTTCTGACGAGGATTCTATTTTACATTCATGTTAATATTGTGTTACTAAAATAAAAATTCTAACAAAGTATCTTATTGCATTTATTATGGTACTGCTTAAGGACCAACCAAGGATGGAGACTGTACAAACACAAGGTAATAAATGGTCCCTGCCCCCAAAGAGCTTACAGTCTAAATAGACAAGACAGGGAAAGGGATATAACACACAGAGTGAACTATGTGATAGCAGCAAGTGTTCCACAATTATTATTATTATTATTAGCTGTGTTTAGTTAGGAGGGGATACGATTAGTAAAGCCACAACAACATGCCTGCAGTTAAAGCAATTTTCACAGAACTGTGACTATTATGTGCAGAAAAACCTTCAGACCCAAGAAATGCATTCTCAGAGCAAATCATCCATGTAGTCCTTTTACTGTTGTGGATCTGAAGGACCAGATCCTGCAGTGTCAAATAACTCTTAACTCCCATTCGCTTCACTAGGAGCGGAGGGAAGTGCAGGAAGCACTCAGCACTCCAGAGGATGAGACCCTAATTTCAGAAGCAACAGTCTAATTGCAAAAATAGTCCTGATAATTGGGAGAATGACTCATTAATTTTCAATTGTATTATGTTAAAAGGGCTCAAGAAGAGCAACCCGTTAAGTTCCACATCTCTCATTCTACTATAATTTTATATAGAGGAAATAATGTGATGAATCCTATGTAAGTGCCAAGAATATTTGGAAAACAGATTATAAAGAATCTACATATTTGGCAACAGACTCCGAATTTAAGCTTATATATCAAGTTCTTAAAATTAGTTATATTGAAATACTAAAGCCTTGTTTACACTTCAAATGCTTTGGCAGTATAGCTATACAAGCAGAGTCCCCTAATATAGACGTGACTTACGCTGCCAGAAGGAGTTTTCTGTCGACACTGTAACACCATGTCCCCACATGACAACAGCTATTCCAACAGCAGCACTATTCTCTCAGCATAGCTGCATCTGCACTCGGGGTTTGCAGGCATAGCTATGCCAGCTAGGGTATTTGTTTTTTAAACACACTCCAGACCAACATAGCTAAGCCAACAAAACTTTGTAGTGTACACCTGGCCACTGTGTAAGATACTCAACCAGTGAAAACTGGCTCAGCATTAATAGAGCAGCATCAATTCACAAGAGCACATTTACACTGAGACGCTAAGGCCTGCTCAACACAAGAAAATTAGACCAGCATAACTAGGTCACTCAGGGGTGTGAAAAATCCACACCTCAAAGTGGCCTAGTTAAGCGGACCTAATCCTAGTTTCCTCTGGGGGAGGTGGTTTATCTATGCCGATATCAGCGTATGTAGTGTCTACACTGAAGGGCTATAGCTGTGCTGCTGTAGCATTTTAAGTGTAGACATACCCTAAGGAAAATTAAGCCACAATAACTAAAGGTGTGAAGATAAAAAGTGCATTAAACCCCTGTGTAGGTGCTTAGTTCGCTTTAGTTTAATTTAATCCTCTTTGAAGGAGGATTAAGCTAAAACCAAGGAAGGCCACTTTACATCTGAATGAGAACATCCACATGAGGGTTAAATGCACCTGAACTAATGTGCTTTGACTTTACACCATTAGTTAATTTGTCTTAATTTGTCGAAGTGTCCCCATGTAGACGTGCCTTTAGTGTTTATGCCACAGGAAGTCTGTATTTTGGCTTCAATCAGAAAGCCTGAAGACTTCTAAGGGCTTGTCTACACATACACTGATGCAACTGTGCCGCGTATGGTGAACACGCTCTATGTCAGCAGCAAAACCTCACCGCCGACATAGCGCTGTCCACACCAGCGCTTATGGCGGTGTATATTATATCCCTCGGGGGAGTGGTTTATTCACACCCGAGCAACAAATTATGCAGGCATAAGCTGTAGTGTAAACATAGCCTAAATGATGTGTCCCCTCTGGTATCTGAATCAAATATACACAGACATGGAGAATACCCCAGTTGCTAACACTAAAATGTTCTTGCACATTAAAAAAAAAAGGTGAGGATTTGCTCCAATATATGCCAGGCAACCAACATCTTAGTATTAAGAGAGCAAACAAAACAGCAGTCAGGAAAAAAAAATCCCACCATTAAGCAGATGCATAGACATTGTTAAGGTCTTTGCAGCAGTCAGAAGTATAAATCGGGCAAAAGGAGAGAATAAAATGTGTCACGTAAAGGCAGCCAATGTCTTCATCCATAATCTTCAATTCTGCTCCTGCAAAAACAGTCTCTAAAGCTGGACATTTCAGTACTCCAGCAGTCACATATGCCCCATGAGTCATTGTGGTTGTTGCTATCCTGGATTAGGTTACTATCTTCAAACAAGAAAACAAGCACAATTCAGCAACAAATACCTGATGAAGTTGATGGAACATTAAAGTGCTCTGCTTCATCCCTACTAAGGCAAAACTCCCAATGGAGTAAACGGGAGTTTTATCTGAGAGCACTGATGGATGGGACCCAAATGGAGTAAGACAAACAATTTGCTTTTTGATCACTGATCTGTGCTGTAAATCAAAATCACATACTATTGGTGTGCAGTGCATTCCATGATTATAATATACTTCTATTTCAGCAATGTCTGTAGGCCACGGTGGTCGTCTCTTCTTTGCATATAGAAGAAAGATCCTTTTAACTTCAAGCAAGCTGTTCAATCAAAATGTTTATTTCCAGTGCATAGAGAATTACTCTTATAAACAGCATAGCTCCTTTATAATAACTGTATGATTGTAGTTAACTCATTCCCTTGGAGCTTAAACATTACAAGCCATCTTTCATTACTGGTAAAAATCTGGTTTCATGGAGAACAAATGTTCTTGGAAATGGATAAAGTGACAAAAACTTGCTAGTTGTGACATGTTATTCTGGCACTGCCTTTAGGTTCAATGATGAAACATGCTTATAGTGGTACAAGGAGTTTGGACTTCAGAGCTGTTTTTCCCTGGTTCCAATTGATGTTCATCATTATAATTTTGTGTATGGCTTGTACTAAAGCATGGCTATCCCCGCCTATAAAATGTGGATAATGATAGTGACCTCCTTTGTACAGCATTTTGAGATCTACGGATGAAAAGACCTAGATAAATGCTAGGATATTTTTATTATTATTAACCGAAGTACAGCTATTAAAAATGGATCACAGTGCTACAGAATGACAAATATACTGTATATGTGACTTACCATAACACATTTGACAGTGGCTGTTTTTAATAAAACAGACTGCATTAATTATAATTATGCACCTAAAGTAAAAAAAATAAAATAAAAAATCTTTGTTTTGTAGATACCTGTAATGTTATACTACTCGTCCATCTTAACCTTGTGATAGTGGAAGTCTTCTTTACAACGAGAATGGTATGAACAGTTACTGAAATTTGTTTTCAATTATTATTTTTTTTAATAAAAATGAATTCTTGCTTGCAGAAATCCTGTAATGAAAGCACACTGCTGATGAAATGGGCTAGGTTTTTATTTTAAAGTGAACTGACAAATTCCTAGACACCCACCAAGTGAAACAAAGCGATTAAGAACTTAAAAAAAAAAATCTAGTGCGGCATTACAGCATGATCACTGAATTAGGTTGGATGACACACAAATGACTGCCTCTGGCAATATATGCCAATACCTTCCAAATTCTCATGGAAATAGATTCCCCTTCCTCCCCGCCCCCAAGCTTGCTCTGGGTCTGGCACATATTTTCTTTGCACAGAAAATGTAGAGCCTGATTCACCACTGGCTTGTGTAGTCATTTACACCTGCTCAAAGTGGGTCCAAAATGATACTCGATCAAACTTCTCCACTCAAGTGAGTATTAATTCAACATTAAGATTCAGAAAACCAAGTATGCGAAAGTCCGGACATTTCTAAAAGGTAGGGTTTGTTCCCCCACAGCATGAGCTCCTCAACGCTACACATTATATACAACACACATACGTATAGTCTGCATTATGCATACTTAACACAGAAGGAAAGCCTTCCGTCTTTTTTAACCAAAAATTCCTAGTTTTACAAAAGCTTTTTTTTTTTTTAAAACCAATTTTCACTTTTATTTTGGACCACCGAAGTCCATGAAAATACTGATTATATTATGAAAATCCGATATGTTCCATTAGGTAGAAGATTTTATGTTAATAATAAATTAGTCTAAGTGTAAATGTGAGGCAGTCTATTAAACTAAGGCAACGTAATGGAAGACATACACATGCATGCATGTCATATGCATACATTGGTGATTGAGTCTGGATAGAGAGATGGCGGCTTGGCAAACTGGGCCACTCAGTACCAAGACACCATCTCTATTTATTGCTTTTTTCGGTCCTCCTGTCCCCAATATTTACCCTATTTGCCCAGAAAACTATTAAGTTAATTTTTGCTCCGATTTTCACCTTTTTTTTAATTTTTGTAGTAAGCACTGATAAGTTCCTAGGAAACTTTAAACAAACTAAAAAGCTAAAATGAAGGGCCTCACCCATAAGTTAGCTGTACCATTTAATCAGGAAAAACACAAAAAGAAAATACTGTACAACATGCACGTGGCCATGTTAACAGAAGTAAACTAGTAACTGTAAATGTCTTAATTTTCAATGCTTGATGCCTAAACCTTAATGATGCATTAATACTAGTACACACATGTGCACATGCACACACAGAAGCACACATTACCTAGCATAACTCTCTCGTGCAACTAAACACACACACACACACACGAACTCCATCCCTTAGCCCAAACATTTTGAGTATTCAAAGTGATTTGTTACATGCAGAGTAATATACTAACGAAGCTCAATGTAACTGGGATAACATGGCTTTAGAAAAGGTTACTCTGACCCTAAGGCAGCTTTTATCTCTATTTCGGGCTCCAAGACGGGGTTTTGGGGCAGAGTTAACTGCTCAGAACTCTCTCCCTCTCTTCATCCCCCGCTGCTGCCTCCCACACCACCTCCCCCTTTACCCATGAATGTTGTCCTGGTCCATGGTCTTCCTGCCACACACACTCCTTCCTCCTGGCACAGCAGCTCCAACATGCCTCCCGCAAATACTTTATAGCTTGAAGGGTTAGAATTCTTCAAGATCAGCCAGTGTTCAAAGGGAAACACCAGTATCAAGCCTCCCATTCTGTCTCAAAAACCAGTTTGATAAACTGTAACCTGCACATGGGTAATGCACGCAAGTTAAAGCACATTAAACCCCCATGTGGATGCTCTCATTCAGAAGTAAAGTGGCCTTAGTACACTGTAACTTATTCCTCCTCAGATTGGGTTACGGCAAACTAAGGACACAACTTCTGAATTAGAGCTTCCAAATGGGGGTTTAATGCAGGGCCGCCCAGAGGGGGGGACAAGTGGGGCAATTTGCCCCAGGCCCCGGGCCCCGCAGGGCCCCCGCGAGCCCTGGCCGAGAATCCCTTTCCTCACCTGGCAATGCTCCGAGTCTGCGGCGGCGGCATTTCAGCGACAGGGGGCCCTTCAGTCACTCCGGTTCTTTGACGGCATTTCGGTGGCGGGGGGCCCTTCAGTGCTGCCGAAGACGTGGAGCGACTGAAGGGCCCCCCACCGCCGAAATGCTACCGCCGCAGACTCAGAGCGCTGCCCGGTAAGTACAAGCTCCCCCGCTTTGCCCCAGGCCCCCTGAATCCTCTGGGCAGCCCTGGTTTAATGTGTTTTAACTTGCGTGCATTACCCATGTAGCTAACCCCTTACACTACTATGATCTCACAAACTAAGCTGAGTTGGTCCTGGAGAGTAGCGGAATAGGAACGCTCTCAGGAAGCCTACATGCAGCAGAGTGTGGTGATAACTTGGTAGAGGATGTTCTTCACTCTGAAGCTGTTCACATGAGCATTTTCAGCTGATCTTGCAAAGGGTGTCAGATATTTGCTCTCAGTTAACCCCATGGTCCTTTCAACTGGTGTTAAACATTATTATCCTAATGGGGTGGATAGAGTCCCCTGAGTTCAAAATAGTCATAGAAAAGCATGCTTGATGTGGTGTTTTCTGATCAGCTCAGTCAGACTTTTATATAAAGGGTAGTGGAACTCAGCTGATCTTCTCCATCATAGGAAAACATGGGGACCCATGTTTGTCATCCATTGTCAAACACAGACTGAAAATCTGAGAAAAGACTCAACCCAAGTTAATACTGAAGTCATACCTCAACACTGTGCGGTCAACTTGATTAATAATCTATCCAAAGTTTCCTTGCTCTTTCCCTCTGGTCCTAAAGCATTGTGCAATACAGCAGAACTTCAGATTTACGAACACCTCAGGAATGGAGATTGTTCATAACTCTAAAATGTTCGTAACTCTGAACAAAACATTATGGTTGTTCTTTCAAAAGTTTACAACTGAACATTGACTTAATATAGTTTTGAAACTTTACTATGGAGAAGAAAAATGCTGCTTTCCCTTTATTTTTTTAGTAGCTTATGTTTAACAGTATGTTATTTGCTTTTTTCCCCCCTTCTTCTTCTTCGTCTTTGCTGCTGCCTGATTGTGTATTTCTAGTTCCAAAAGAGGTGTGTGGTTGATTGGTCAGTTTGTAATTCTGGTGTTTGTAACTCTGAGGTTCTACTGTATTCCCATGCTCTGTTACACAAATACTGTGTCCCATCCAAAACATGGCTGCATGTCCAATGACTGGTGAATTAACGGCCTATTCAGCACTTTCAAATACTACGAAAGGCATGAAAAATGCGTTAATCATGACTGAGTTCTCTTATTGCAGACAACAGTACTTGTTTTATCCATGTTTAAGAGATCAAATCCTCTTTTCGCTCAAAGATTTCCAAATTCCCTAATACATCTGAGAAAAATCCTATTCTGCATGAAGTAATCCCCCTAGAGTTTAAAGGTGGGATTTTCAAAAATGCTCAGCATTTCATTGATTTCAATGGGAGCGAGTCAGGCCAGTGAAGAGAGCTTTTGAAAATCCCACCTTAAATTAATGAATGAAACAAGCCCAATTCTTCTGGTCTCAAATGATTTTTCAGAGCCGCAGGAAGATTAGTATTTTTCAAAGCCAAGAACAGATCAGTATTAAACAAATTCAATTGACTGAGTCCTTGGTAAACTGAATGCTTTTTTAATTAGATGCCCAGTGCTGATGACTAAGTTTGGTATAAATTAAAACAAACTTTCTAATTTAAAAATCCATCCCATAGATCCACAGTTTGTTTGCCACCCTTACTGTCTTCCCGTCATGCCTAGTTTTACGTACTGCAGATACACAAGATACCTATGCAACTATTTTGTTCCCTGCAGACACACATCAGTGGAAAAGATGTTATTTCTGTCACATCAGAAAATGGATGATGTTTATTCATTTTGTCTGCTGGATGCGGGTGCAATACACTAAGAGCTGCTCACTGTACCGTTACTGGCTAGCTGCACTCTGATTTTAGCTTGGAAAAATAAGACTTCTATACTCCATCCACAGAACAGCAGCTTTTCCACGTAAGAAAAACCCTTTAAAAATGTCACACTGTACTTTTATGAACAATTCGACTGGTCCTTTTTTATTTGTGTAACTTGCAGCTGTAAATAAGGATCAACAGTTAGGTTCTCTGTTGGCCATCGTTACAAGGAGAATTATCTGTCTGCTCCACACAAACCTGATAGCTTATTTTTTTAAAACAATTGTACGACATATCAGACAGTTTTTCAGACATAAGGAAGACTGAATTCCAATTTGCCCATCCGCTTATACATGGAGGAAAATCACTATAGCAACCAAGGAACACATCAGGACAGAGTCATTCAAAAGCATTCTATACTGGGAGCTGCACCTTCACATTCCTTACTTCAAACTGCCTCAGTGATTTTTAATTTATTTGATGGGATCAGGGCAAGACATAACAACATATTGTAAAAATTTGCTAGTGCTTGGAGGCCATTTACCAGTAGACCGAGGGAGTGTGACAAATTTAAGGGATTTACTGAGAAAAACTGCACTCCAGCAGGTGTTAAGTACAGTAAGTAACTAATTATATTTTAGTATCTGAAATAATAACAAACAACAATAAAAGGACGTGACATCTTGGCAGCCTCACCAAGACCCAGTTGTGAGCAGAGCTGGTTGAAAAGTGGAGACGTTTTCTATGAAAATCTTTTCCCATTTTTGCCAAAATGTCAAACTTCAAGAAATTCTCCAAAATGTTCTTGCTCTTGTGTTGAGCCTGGAAGTCAAACTGAAGCAAACAGAACAAACCCAAGACTATGTACGTGTGATAAGAATCAGAAAGTGAGAGCAAGAAACAACCCTCCCTTCTGGTTGGCTTATCAAATTCACACTTACCTCTAAATTATCTGATAACAGATCAAATGAGCATTTCACATGGGTTTATCCAACAAAT